CGGCACCCGCCGCTGGTGGAGCACGTCGCATGCGTTGGTCTAAATCAATGAATGAAAACTTGTATCAGTAGCCTCGTTACCACGCAGTGTTACTGTAAATAGTAACAGTAATGACTAAACAAACCACTTTTCTTCGTTTAACTCTTTAAGATTGAATTATATTTATTTAATTGATATCATTATAATCAATGGCGTGACAAAAATGCTTTTAGTTCACCTGATAGTAAGTGCCACCCATGGACAAATTAGCATGCACTGTTACTATTAACTTTGGAAATTAGGATGAAATGTCTTATAGTTTTTAATTATACCCTCATAGCGTTACGAAACATTTATATTATAGCATGTAGGTCTCATGTAGCGTGTAGTTCTCTAAAAATAATTTAAAATATTCTCATAATGCGACTGATGGCATAATATTGCATAAATTAATCACAACTTCAGGTGCTGAATTAACACGCGAAGCCTGTGCATCAGTGGGACATATTTAGGATGTCAACAAGCTTTTATTTATTTAACAAGCTTTAATTTTTTATGCGTGGTAGATAGTTAGATAGTTCTAGCACGAATGTGTCAGCTCGTCCGAGGAAGGACCACGCTCTCACGGAATACCAGCGTAAAATAGAAGCTGCTTCTGTGTATCGTATGGTGAATGTAAAAACCGGAGACCCTTTTTACTGGATACGAAGCATTCCGTCTTAGCCCTCACGCATGACAACGCAAAACTTAACGGAAAAATTACATGTATTTCATATTTGCATGTACTTATTAAGTTACAATAGTCTTTGGAATTGAATTCTATACTCATACTTTCACTCTCAGTAAAGCAAGCACTTTGCAAATTAATTTAGGTAATAGACCAAAAAAAAACTAAGATGATGATAAAAAGTAAATAGAAAAAATCCCGTTTTTGCGGTATTGGTTTTGAAGGTTGTCTCGGATATTTTTTGGGTAAAATCATTTTAAACGTTTCTTTAAGTTGCGATTTATAGCACCTAATTCATTAAATAAAAAAAACACGTTGGCATTTAGAAATAATAACAATTTTATCTTGGCTGCATATTCGTGTTCTTTTTTCATTTAAGGAAAATAGGCAGATAATATTGGATGCGATTTGAAGTTATATTAGAATACTGAAAAAGTAAACTCGATCGGTATGTAAATCTGTTTAATCAGTTAATTTTTATACCATTACGAACCATACGAACTAAATTAGCACAGTTAGAGTCACAAACGAGTTCGTAGGACTCACCGTAATGAAAATAAAAGGTAAGACAAGTGGTAAAATTAAACGTTTTGTACAACTGACTTCAATATTAATAAAATGAGAAAATCATCAATGTAGTCGAAGTCAATTAAATACCTATTATAAGGATAACTCAAAAACTGCTGGTCAGATCTTGATCAAATTTATATTTCAAATAAAGAAAGAATCATCAAAATCGGTTCACCTAGAAAAAAGTTCAGATGCAACACATAAAAATACGGTTGAATTGAGAACCTGCTCCTTTTTTTGAAGTCGGTTGAAAATACTTTCTAAAAGATTTATAACATTAGCGGCATATATTTTTTGCTCATTTTAAACATTCTGAAATAGATTTCTCTGCTTTTTTAACAGGGTACAGGGAAGGTTATGTGCCTTCGAAAAATGATAACAGTTTCCGAACTGTGGATGTTCTTTTTGTTTTCCAGTAATTAACAATAGTGCAGGCGCTTCCCGGCCTGATGATAGTTCAGCCTATAGTGATCTAGTCTAACTAGTCTAAAAGTAGAAGTCTAACCTAGGATTAGTTGCACAGTCTACTTTAGAGCAGTACAGTTTGACTTTCACATAAACGTCTTGACTAAAGTAAAATGACAGTAATTAAATAAGTTTCATATACTCGTAATTATGGCCTATAACTACTTGCGAATTCCTTGCTTGTACGTTAGATTGCACAATAAATAGTAAGTAAGTTTTTATAGCGATTTCATTCCCTCTGCATTGAAATGCACATCATAGAAGTCTGAGGTCTGCACTGTAATCTCAACGCAGATCACTATAATTCCTGCGCACACTCTCTGTTCAATAGAATCCTATAGAATACCGAGAGGCTGGCTACTCCACACACACACAAGCCTTTAGAACCGTAGCTGGTGTACCATCTGCTCCACTAGGCTTGCTCACGTCTACATTCCTCTATATTTTAAGAACCTTCTCGTTGGTGATGTGGACCTATGGTATAGATGAACCGCAGTAAGGTAATTGGGCTATACTGTTGCTGTTACTTGTACCTGGTGTATGACAAGCTGCACTTACTCTTTTTGACTGAGACAGAAATCAGATGTCCTCGTAATTTCCATCAGCGAGCCGGAGTCTGTGTGTACGTGTGTATATATGTGTGTGTGTATGAAATCTGTTGTAAGTGGCTGTAAGCGTCTCCGTCACCTTGAAGAGAGAAGAAGAGTAGAGAAAGGATATAATTGATTATTCTTGTGTCTACTGATAGCACAGCGGTGAACAGGAAACAACTGGACTATTTAAATACGTCAGTGAGGTCCCTGATGTGTTCCTAAATACATAGGTAACCTACTACACAGTTGATTTTTCTGTGAGACTTTAATGCCGGTCATCAGGACTGGCCATATCAGAAAACCACGCAACCACGCTGAGAGAAACGCATGGGATTTTGGTTTGTTACGCTGGGGCTCTTTAAGTTGGTAATACAGGCGACTGGAGTACCCTATGCAGAAAAGCATACAGACAACTGCTTTGATCTTCTGCTGACCACTGATCCGAACAGGTACGATATTCATGCTACCTCCCACTTGAAAAAGAAAGCCACATTTTAAAGTTAAGTTCAAATATATAAATAATAACATACAGTTAGTGCACTTTTTATAATACGAGTAAGTAAGCCTTCTACTTTTATTTGAAATTATCCTAAATTGAATGTGATTTATGACGTTTTTCTAACCGATCGACCCTTAAGAATGTGAGTGCGCTCTGTAAAATCATTACCATGAATTCATTACCAAGCGTTTTGAATGTAGAAGATAAGACAAGGACAGAATATTTGACTTTTATAATTAAATTTTCTTCACCATTTGTCTCTATTAATATTTCTGAACCTTCTCTGAAAAATTGATCGCTTATTGCAAAATAACCCTGTATATTAATAAGTGAAAACGCTGGGTGGAGACCATCTGAGTTATTACGTTCTCAGCCTCAAAACCCTGTCAACAGAGTAAGATGAATCTTTATACTTTACCCTCATTTTTTATAATTATAATTATAGTCTGTCTTAATTTTTATTATTTAGTAAGCTCTTAAAAGGATTTAAACGAATTATAATATTTAAAAGAAAAAATAATTAAAGGAAAATAATGAACAATTATTTTTCTGTACCATTTTCCTCTTTCAGCATTTGTCAAACGAGCAAAACGTTTTCATTGAGTAACATCAGTGTAGGTGGATTGACAATCAGCGAGGGTCACGTAGACAACCGATGAATGCAGCTTGCTATGACCTTGCTTTGTAATAATCTGTGGGAGAAATCTGGGTTCGGGAAATGGAATTCTTGATTTAGAACCAAAATGTATACCGAATAAATATGGGTGTCTAATTATCATAACCATCCGGTGGAATGTGTGTTCATTTTGTTATCCTATAATTAATTATGTATAGACTTGATGAATTATGTTTATCAACGTTTTGGAATATCGTCGCATTTTTAAGATATTCTTACATAGTCTCATAAAAAGTTAACTTTTCATCTTTATCACTTACATTGCTCTTGAAGAAACTAACTGAAAGATTGACACCAATGTTACATATCTTTTTTTTAATAATAATAATAATTCCTAACATTTCTGAGCCCCAATCAGACCGGAGGCCATGGGCTGGTCTCGTATCATATACGTATGTCATTAGGTTAAAGATTGAACTTACACAATAGTATCACAACCCATTACGCGCTCCTGTGTCTGTTGTTGTTTGTACAGAAATTCACGGTTAGGCCAAAACATTCGCAAGTACACTAGTCCTTGGGGTATAGCACACCGGGACAGCTTCTCACCCGGTATAAAGTACAAGTCCAGACATACTGCTGTAACATAATATATCAGATATGTTGTATGGCTCTGCAGAATGCCACCAAACATCATTGAATTCAGTGGAATGGCGTGCACTGGCACAAAGTAGCCATTATATTGGATACAATCAAAAGGTCGGCGGGTTTACAGTTTTTTTTTATGGATTCGAATGTATATTTCAATAAAACAAACAAGGAGATGGGTAGCATCGTCTTCGTTATAACAACTTAAAAAAAAATTCGGTTGCAAACCCGCCAGCCTAGCGTGGCAACTATGGCAAATATCCCACATAAAAGCAACCTATGAGGAGGCCAATGTTCAGTGTTGGACTTTAATGAGTAATGGCTGTTATGAGTTAATGAACGTGATGATATACCACAAACTGAGTTCATGTAAAGTAAAGTAAAGTTACAGCCTATATACGTCCCACTGCTGGGCTAGGAAGTGCGGACTTCACATGTTTTCGAAATATATATTTTTATGTCTCAGACATGCAGGTTTCCTCAACATGTTTTTCTTCACCGCCGAGAACGTGATAAATGAGGGATCGAACCCGGGTTACTATAAAATTCACAGCGACCGCTGGACATGAGGTCTTTCTGTGGATCTTTGGACATGAGGTCTTTCTGTTTTCATAGTCGTTCCTACGTTACCTAGTGTAATGCATTATCTCATGTCGTCTCGCTACCGTAGGAAATTGTATAACATACCGAAGAAAAAGACTTTTATATACAAAAATACAATATATTCACTATCAACTATAATCACAGACAGAGTACTTCATATAAAAAGTAAGTGACAAAGGTTTTCTTATTTTTTCTTAATTCAATTTCTACTTCATTACTAATTACATAAGTAAATTTATATAATGAAATATGATTTTAAGCTCGATTTTTAATTACATAAAATGTATTCAATTTTAAAGTTTAACCATAAGTGCTCGCGCTCGCTGACGCAGAAGCATGTGCGCTGGCTGAGGCCGAGGCGCCGCCATAGGCATGACTTCCGTAACCACCACAAGACCCACTACCGCAGCCATGCCCTTTAGATGGGTAACCTGCGGAGCCCCCACCACATGAACCTGAGCCGCAGCCACCGGCACCAAGTCCATTACTTCCTCCGAAACCATTTCCTCCGCTCTGGCCATTTCCGCCACCGAATCCGCTACCGAGACCCCCACCTAGGCCCCCACCTAGACCTCCTCCAAAACCACCGCCTAAACCAGCACCACCTCCTAATCCACCACCTAGGCCTCCGCCTAATCCACCACTTCCTCCATATCCACCACTTCCATGACCCCCAGATCCTCCCCCCTAGGCCACCGGCTCCTCCATAGCTTGAGCCTGCGCCAGCGCCTCCACCGAACCCACTACCACCCCCAAAACCACCGCCAAGTCCAGCTCCACCACCTAGACCGCCACTGCCTCCACTGCCTCCACTGCCTTTTCCGAATCCTCCTGATCCGCCACCCACACCTCCGCCTTGCCCACCATTTCCTCCATATCCACCACTTCCGTGACTTCCAGATCCTCCTCCTAGGCCACTGGATCCTCCATGGCTTGAGCCTGCGCCAGTGCCTCCACCGAATCCACTACCACCCCCCAAACCACCGCCAAGTCCAGCTCCGCCACCTAGGCCGCCACTTCCTCCACTGCCTTTTCCAAATCCTACAGATCCACCATGGCCTCCTGATCCACCATGACCTCCTGATCCACCTCCACTGACGAAACCGCCAAATCCTCCGCTTCCACTACCAAGTCCACTGCCTCCACCAAGTCCACTGCCTCCACCAAGTCCACTGCCACCGCCATGTCCATTGCCTCCTCCAAGTCCACTGCCTCCACCAAGTCCGCTGCCACCGCCATGTGCACTGCCTCCACCAAGTCCACTGCCCCCACCGAGTCCAATGCCACTGCCACCGCCATGTCCACTGCCTCCACCAAGTCCACCGCCTGCACCAAGCCCACTGCCTCCACCATGCCCTCTTCCCCCACCTAATCCGCTACCCGCGCCTTGACCTCCACTTCCACTATTACCACCAATTCCAAAACCTCCGTCAGTTCCACCAGATGAACTACCGCTTCCAAATCCAGTAGAACCCCCGAAGCTTCCTCCATTGCTACCGCTATTTCCAGTTCCTTTACCGGCACCACCGTATCCACTGCCGCCTCCTATACCGCTACCGCCTCCAAATCCAGATCCGCTTCCATAACCACCCGAGCTTCCAGATCCTCCGACATTTCCTCCAAATCCAGAACCAACTCCTACGCTGCTTCCACTAGTACCACCGTGACCTCCTGCGGTACCGCTACCAGTGCCTCCACCGGCACCTCCACCGAATCCAGTTCCACCGCCACTGCTGCTGTATCCTCCACCGCCACCGTATCCACCTTTACCACCATCCAGAGATCCGGTGAAGGCGAATCCACCTGATTTTCCATCGTCGGATTTGGTATAAATTACTTTTTCATCTTTTCCGCCCAAACCAGAGCCACCTCCAGCGCCGCCTCCTAATCCAGCGCCGCCTCCTAATCCAGCGCCGCCTCCTAATCCAGCGCCGCCTCCTAATCCAGCACCGCCTCCTGCACCACCTCCTAAGCCTCCTCCAGCACCCCCACTTACACCGGCGCCGCCTCCGATACCACCCCCTAAACCACCGAAATGTGATACTCCGGAGTGAACTTTCCCAATTATATCGTGCACGCCTTTGTGAATGATATCGAGGCCTCCTCCTAGGCCGCCGCCGAGTCCGCCGCCGAGTCCACCGCCAAGGCCACCTCCAAGGCCGAGGCCACCGCCTAAGCCACCTCCTCCTCCCCCACCTCCGCCTCCGCCGCCACCGCCGTAACCGAAGCCTCCGCCGCCGCCGCCTCCATACCCAAAACCGCCGCCACCACCTCCTCCGCCACCACCACCGTAACCACCGCTACGGCGCAATCTCTCTGTAAATAAGTTTAGAAATTTTTAAAATGTATGGATTTTAAGGCATTTTTTTTAGGAAAGAAATTAAAAGGTGAGTTAGATAATTTCTTAAATATTTCTATTCTTTTCATGGTAGTATTTAAAATTTTTCTGTAAATACCATTTATCTGATTCATGGTGAGTTGATTGAGCGGCCGTGAACGTTTCTGATCTATAGGGATATTTTGCTCGTTAGGAATATGTTGTTCGTTTTATATGCGTTTCCACTATTCATCTGATTACGATAAAACTTCGGCGTGTTATAATGCGTTAATTTTAGAAAAATATTCTATTTTCATTTTAGGGTTCCCTTATGAGGGTCATCATCACATTGTAACAATATACTAGCTGGCCAGGTATTGTTGCTTTGTTTTGCCATTTCCAATAACCTTTTGTCCTATATTTTTTTTAAATTCGCAATGAAAAATATTGAGGATCACTTCTCGGGATAAAATCTATCCTATCTTTCAAGTTGGAGCAGACAATACACATCTACAAAATTTCATTAAAATCGGTTGGGGGGGGGGGGTTCGGAACGGTGAACGAACATCGTATAAAAACTAATTATATAAATAGTTATGGCATATTCTTTCAACGTTGATCTTTATTTTATCCTAAGAAACATCACAAATATTATATATTATATTTTTAATAAAAGACGGTATTAATTTTACGACGGTATTAAACTTTAGAAACATTAGAGATATTTTGGTCTTCATAACACACAGTTAAGATCTTTTATGAAATACGCATCATCATCATTATCATGTAGGTATAACAATAAACGCAAAAAGCAGACTTATTATCTCAATATAAACGCAAAAAGCAGACTTGTTATCTCAAGCAGTAAAGCTTAATACAAAAAACTAATTATTTTATAAGTAAAAAGCTAAAAAGACACAACAAAAACACATTAAGTTTTTGCTAAGATTAGAAGCAAATTTGTGTCATTTAAATTATTAAGGAAATTTCCTTAATTCTTTTTTTAACGAAAAATTTAATATAAATACCAGCGTAAATTAGCAGCTCAGTACGTGTTTCATATGGTGAGTGTAGAGAACCGGGGAACCTTTTTGCTGGAAACGAGGCATTCCATCTCAGTTCTCAGGATTGACAACGTATTTGCATTTTGATTTTTAATTGAAGATGAATGTAGATTTCTATAGGCAACAGCATCAACTTACCATAAGTTGGACTGTGTCCTCGTTTGTCACCCTTATTCTATAAAAAAACATCCTGGATCTTTCTTATTTCCCTTGCGAATAAATCGATTCGCACATCATCATAATTATCATTGTTTATTACAGTCCATCACAAGTCATTGCTAAAATAGGTTATACAGCACCTTCTAGATCATGACGTCCATTGATTCAGAATGGTCACCCTACATTGGATGTTCTTGCGGGGATTAAAAAAGTTCCAGCTATTAGGATCGAAACTAATATACAAGGTGTATGGACTTGTTGAGCGGACTTGGTGTATTTAATATGAATGAAACAAGTTCAGAATTGTTTGAAAGTGAAAAAGCACCGATGTCTTACAATATTTTCTGTCCTTATGTCACGATAATAATTGTACTATAATATAACGTAATAGGGCCTCCATCCTTACCCTAACTAGACAGGAAACTTGTAAAACTTGTAACAAAGAATTTGAATTTTCTAATACGTACCTCAAAATTAGTGTCAAACAAAAATGCAACCTTTATTCATTTATTACAAATTAAATTAGGAACCGTAACGAAATATTGTTTACTCGGATGATGCTGCAACTTTAACTTCTTAATTTACATTTGTTCTCCGTTCATAAAGCTATTAGGTATGACTTAGAAAGTAAGGCGAATAAGAAAATATATTTGGAAATATTGGATTTGCCTTACGATCACAATGTTGCCTTTTACGAAATTAAGTTTAAAATGATATTTTTACTATTATTTAGTACTACAAATTAAGACTGAATGAAAGAAACCTATTTATTATTGAATAAAGGCCAATATATTAAAACGATATGCTGTATATATTATATTTTAACGACTTTTTACGTTTGTGTAAGTGCTGATTTTACAATCATCGGGTAGAAGGTATTCATAGGTAATACACCATAAATAACTTAAGTTAAAAATTTAAAAGCCCTGAAACAAAAATAGTTGATGATATTCAAACGGCTGAAAAATTATTCTTGAATCACAGCTAAGAACACCCTCGATCAAGTCTTACAAACTAAAAAAATCACATATACACACGTTAACATAAACATAACAGCACTCTTTTTGGTCGAGGGTTAAATTAAAAATTACAGTTTTATTAATAAAATAATTTATTTGTTTCGCTTTTATATTCAGCCAGGTTATAAATAATTTAAGAATAATTTTTATCTGCCTATTAAAAAATCAGCCCTTAATTTTTTGTTACGAAGAGTGTAAATATATGGGCTAACCACTATTAATAATTAATATATGCCATCAGGTGGACTGTAAGTACACTTGTCATTTGTATTTAAATAAAAAACAAATAAACAACAGTTATTTACCTGATGCATCGCCAAAGGCAAGCAGGGTGGCCAATCCAAAATAGCACAGTGCCCGTCTCATGTCTGCTCGTTCACTTAACTGAGGATGAATTAATACGAATAACCCTTTTATACATCTTAACGGATTATAAACGACGTAATCGTAAGCGTTTGTGGGAATACATTCACGAGTACTCGGAAACAATTGTTTTTATAACTAGACTCAGTGCGTGACTATGTCCTTTCCTTACACTCTGTTTAGAAAAACGTGATACAAATTCTAATTCGAAGATTAATTTGGCAACTTCTTTAAAATTAATCAATAATATTAAAAATTATTTACATATTTTTTTCTTATTTTAAATCGAGTCTCAGTATTTTTTACACGCCTAATTAAAAATAAATCTTGTGAAAAATAGCTCTTTTAAAGAATAAATTATACACGAGAATTAAACTTTTGACTAGTAGTTTTGAAGTAAGATGTGATTAATTTGTGTGAGTTTAATCCACAATGCTCATTTCTGTTTTCTTTATTGTGAACATGTTTAAAAAACATACCCGGAGATTTCAGAAAGCGCTCAATGCTCAAATCAATGAAGATTTCATAGTGTTTAACTAGTTTAAGTATTCAAAGTGGCTTTGTGTAAAAAAGTTTTTTTTAATTTGAATAAAAAAATGACAAACAATGACACACTTTTATAATCTGAATAAAAAAATGACACACTTGTTGTGAGTGGATACCATTGTCTTCACCATTATGGACGTCGATGTCGATAGATCAAAAGGTTGCGTCATCCTCTGCGAGCTAAGATGGAATATCTAATCATTATATCACCATATTAATAAATATATCATTGTTTCTCGGCTAGTTTGTAAAATTATATAAAATGGTTTTCTTTATATGTTAGGATGACAAACGAGCACATAATCCACCTGATGTTAAGTGGTTGCTGTGGCCCATAGACATCTACATCTATCCTCGATTACGAATCAAAATGCAGACGCGTTGTCATCCGTGAGGACTTAGGTGGAACGCCTCGTTTACAGTAAAAAGGGTCTCCGGTTCTCTACACTCACCATACGAAACACAGCAGCATTAAGCTACTATTTGACGCTGGTATTCTGTGAGAGCGTGGTCCTTCCCCGGTCGAGGCGACTCATACGTGGTACAACTATACTACTCGTACTAATATAACTGCACCATTGCTCTACCACGTTCAGATAATAATGTAACGTTAATACATGTATTAAATAAACATATTTCAATTTTTTCCATTGGAAAATTGTGTGAAATTTTTCATTGGTTGTTGTTGGAATCCACTATGATTCTAAGTAATGATAACAAATTATTAAATAGCTGTTATAACGATTGTCCTACGTATGGAATAATAATATATCGTAAATGGTAAGGTTAAAACATTCTCCACAATAATTATCCACTTATAATAATTATAAACAATAATTAGAAAAGCTATGTATTAATATTATTCAACACTGGTACTGCAAACATCCATATTTGATAAAGTTCTTTGAAAATTATACTTTACGATTTTCATTTCATAAGAAACTCTAGGAGAGTGCTGTTTTCCTCAGATTTTATTAGATTATTAACAATTATTATGTTGTGTATGTATTCCAAGTAAATTTTAATTACCATTGAGATATGACCTGATAAGTAAGTTCATAAACAGAAGTTAGTTTAACATTTTTAAATGGCTGTTAAAGAATCTGTCATTCTCTTAGGTTGCGGATGTTCTTGTGTTGTGGTGAGCTAGTGAGCTTATCAAGTGAGCCGAATGCTCGTTTGTTACTCTTTTTGATTGAGATGGAACGTCTCATAGCTGGTTTTTGTACTTAAAATATGATAATTTTTATATCATTTTTATAGAAATAATGGTCACAAAACAACTAATAGGTCGGTACAAAAATAGATAAGCGAAAATACCTAACAATTTCACTGATTAAAAACGGAAGGAGCTTTGATTTGGGCTCCTGCTTAAACAAAACATAACTTAAGAACATAATCGAAGGAAAAATAGGGGGAAAGTGAAGAAGATGACCAAGAAAGAGGTACATATATCAGGTAGAAGAGATAGCTGGTGTTATGTTGTCAGACAGTGATTTAAAAATGAGCAGACTGGCGATTATTTCACCGACAAGAGCACAGATGTCACATTTAAATATCAAGAAAGGAGACAGTCGTGTGTTGACTTATGTGTAAGTGGATCATGTGGCCCATATGCTTCTACATCAGTCTTCGAATAAAAATCAAAAGGTAGAAGCGTTGTCACCCCCGCGGACTAAGATGGAACATCTCGCTACGGTCACCCTGAAACTGTGCTACTATTTCACGCTGGTTTTCTGTGCGAGGGTTGTCCTTTCCCGTACCGTTCTTTCATCTACAATATCAGCCCATAACAGCCTATCACCAGTTATGACTTATGAATCTAAGACGTGGTCCTTTACTGCTGCCTGTACGAGAAAGCTCAAGGTCACTCAACAAGCTATATGCTATGCTCGGGGTTTTTGTGCGTAATAAACTTAGACGTTAGGATATCCGCAATAGAATTAGAGTAACCGACAACTAGTCAAATCGATCCTTTCGTGCTGCAGCCATAATTTGTTGCACCGTAGTTCTACCACATTCCGACTGCTGGTAAACATTGAATCCACTACTTAGCCTGAGTACACTGTTGTACTATAGTTGTACTCAGGCTTTGTGACAGAAATAAATAGATATGAAAGTCGGTCCCGTACTACGAACTTTTTTTCTTTTTCTAAAATTTTTACGTGACAGTCAGCTCACATTCCACCTGATTGTAAGTATCTATTACCGATGAACACTAGCAACTAATTTTAAACATCTTAGATACGTTATCCCGATTGAGGTCCAAGATGAAGTATCCGACGATTTGTAATGATACTGTATGGCCACACTTTTGATTATTTTGAATAGATTTTGACTAGAGCAGTGATTTATATAACATTTTCAAATTAGGTCACGTTTCAATTTTGTTCTAATACGATTATATTATTAAAATCATAACAAAATACCAGAGTTGTACAACTGCCATGACCGTTTCTTGTAATCGGAGAAGATAGCCCTTATCTTAGGACGATGTATATTAATATATCTTATTAGATAAATCATTTATATAAATACGATAATTATCAATAAAATACGCACGACTATAGTTTATCTTTTCTGCTAATTTAATTGAAACGACAAAAAATTGCATTAAATATATATCGTTCAATTCATCTTTTATTTCTGGTAACTTTTCGTTCATTTTAATAACGTAAGAGCACCTAACGGTAAGTGTAAGTACAAGAAACGAGTTCCTTTTTTGACCATAAGTTCGTCTGGCCCACCACTTCTGCTGCTAAGTACCATTGCACTTACTGCATTCTAGGATTTCGATTTTAATCCTCAAGGATAACTTGCATTTGTGCCATTTGAAATAGGTTACCGGTATCCACGGGCTGCAGGCAGCTGGAACCTTTTTAATCCCCGCAAGAACAACCAGTGTAGGGCGACCATTCTAACGGAGCAAGTGACAGACACTTACCAAGTGGATTTTCAAATTTCAAAGTTGTTTTTATAAAGCAAGCTGTATTTCTCTTCTCATTGTACATTAACTTCAAAATCCTTCGTCATTGGTACATAATCGTGTAGAATATCCACTACCTTTTATCGTCCCGTGGGTGTCGTAAGAGCCAACAGAGGGAAGCAAACGAGAGATGGGCAGCAGCATCTTCCTAATAACAAGTAAGAAATTATTAACCTATGGTAAAAGATTTTGGAACCTACTAGGATGGAACGTAAAAAGAGTCTCCGGCTCCCACACTCACCCACTACTTCCTGTCAGAATAAACAGTATCCCAGGGTGGTATGACGTTGGCGATAAGTCTTGATATCGTTAACACCTTTGATTCCCTACCCTGGGACGCAATCAGGAGTTTACTGGCACACCATCGGGTGGCCCCCTACCTGCAAGATGTTATCGGGGACATATGTACATCGGTACATAATGTACATGGGGAAAAATGGTAGGAAAATCCGAAGGGAGATCAAACGTGGGGTTCCGCAAGCCTCGGTGTTGAGGCGGCAACTGTGGAACATCGCCTATGTTGTGGAACTTCCACTGGCGTAGCACGGCTTCTTTAACAAACATTTATTTACTATAGGTGTTACAGATAGCCTACTGTGCAGGGCATGTATAAGGGAGCAGGAAACCGCGGCCCACGAGTTGTTGGCATGCCCGAAGGTCGCTACATATAGGTCTAAACATCTCGGCTCGCCGGGATCACTCCCGAAGTTACTCGCAACATCAAAGGACTGTTGAATTTCTTCGCTCGAATAATTTCACGGCTCGAATAATACAATATTCCTGCCCACACGCAAAATACGCGCTTACACGTGGATTTGCGGAAAACAGCCTCACAAGACCGAGGCCCTATGGTTCCATAAATACGACGCAGCCGATTGGTCACCCTAATTCTGTAAAAAAACACGCACGCACACACTCGCATTACTTTTATATGCTTCTTTTTATAAAGATTTGAAATTAATGTCATTGAAGTAAGCAAACTGGCAAACAGATGTTTATTATTTATATTGTTATTCCTGCCAACAAATGATTATTTACAGTGAAATGTAGTTTTTATAGGTTTATAAGTAGACGAAGATATTTGAGATCATCCTATCTACGCACAGCGGGCGGTATTGACTAGAACTTTGCCTTGAACTTAACAACACAATAGATACAGTATAACGTTCGCACAGGAGTATATTCATTACATTTTAGCATTAATAGGTTTCCTGTTAAACCTACATTAAAGGTATTAGAATGAGTTAAGCTTATTCTTCTTCTGCTTGATTATTAGACCATAACAGGCCACGGCGTTTCGCACATTTGACACAGCTTTAAGTCGCTGGTCTGGGTATTTGTTGGCGTAACCAGAGAGTTGTACCGCCATTTGTCGGAAGCTTTATGGTATTTTAGCGTTTTCAATAGTGACCTGTTGCGACACTAACGGGTTAAAGATGTGGTGATGGATTTTATTTCACCGCTGCCACAT